CGACGTGGTTCTCGAGCTCGTAGTAGAATTCATAGATGGGGTAGATATCGTAGATGTTTCAGATGTTGCAGATGCATCTGTAGAGGAGGTTTGAGGTCGTCGCAGCTTCATGTTGACCTCCAGCTCCCTCTTGAGCTGCTTCAGCGCCACCGACTTCTTCCGTGGGGACCGGTTGGTCGACGTGGGCTGGTTTTTCAGAGAGAGGACGATGTCGTCGTTGGAAGGTCGATCTTCCACGCTCCGTTGTTGGTTCCCCATGCGCAGCTGCTGTAGTTGTTGTACCGGTACATTCTTTTTCTTATGGAGCATCTCTCGTGATTTCACAAAGGCCGTAGACCCAAGGGAATTTTTTCCAAGTAAAGCATCCTTGTATGATATTTTGAAGGGGTGCTTACTTTTTATAGGGCCTTTTTGGAGTTGTCCGGGTCCAGCAGGGTCTTGTGTCGCGGAGATTTTATTTCCCTCGGCGATTTTCCCTGGTAGAGTCCGTTCGTGGTTTGAAAAATTCACTCCACGATCCTCCAATATTCGCATTAAATCTGCTCCACTGCTGCGGTCCCTAAGCGCTGAACGTGCAGTTTTCATTTCGTCACAATCGATGAGTCGATGTCCGGGCTTGCCGCAGAAAGAACACATAGATTTGTTCTTCTTTGGTCTTGCCTTCGCGTAGATTCGATCGAGTTCCATCGGGTCGGCGTACGTGGGGTTAGCCAAGCGTCCTCCATGTTGTCTAGCTCGTCCATGAAGTCGTCGTGTTCCGATCGTGGTTACGTCGAAACGTTCCGCTGCCGAAACGACGTCGTTGTAGCTGCTCCAATTTGCGGTTGCAACATGTTGTCGTGTTTCTTTTTTCAGCCCCGCGATAAATGCTCTAATTTTTTCGCCTTCCGTGACGTCGGGGATGCGGTTGAACAACTCCTCCATTTGTTGCGTGTAGTTTGTGACGCTCCCGATTTGTCGATGACGATGCATTTTGTCGCGGGCGATTAACGCTGCATTAATCGGCTCAAAACGTTGTAGTAATCCTTCATGGAACTGCTGCCACGTCGCTTCACCTTGGTTTAATAAACCGCTTCTGCTTATCCATTCAATTGCTGGTCCGCGCAGTAGTGTTGCTGCAAATTTAATTCTGTTTCTGTCGAGTGCTAGTGCTGTCCATCCAATGGCGGCGAAATAAATTTCGATCGCCAAAAGCCAGCGCCTAGCGTCGATTTCCCCATCAAAGGTGTTGGGGGCTCGAATTTCTTGGGCATTGGGAAAATTTTGCGACTGCTGCGAAGTCACGATCGATTCTGCTTCTGTCGCAATTTTCGAAATGACGCGCGCTTTCACCCGAAGTCGTTCGATCCGTCGCGCGTCGGTCTCGCTACTTCTGCACCGCTCGATATAGGTCCCGACAATTCGCAATTGTCGACCCTGTATCGCAAACGTTTTCGCCAACAATCGAACTCATGATCCTGTTCAAAAAACGCACGAGGGGAGGAATTCAAAAAACGCGGAATCTGGTGCTTACCAGCGTCGGCGCCGAATTCGTCGCCCCCGGCGGTTTTTCGAAGCAGGAATTTCTTGAGCGCGCTGCTTAGCTGAAACTCCGCGAGTGAAAACGGCTCTGATTCCAAGTGTCACAGGATCGAATCCTCTCGAGAATGTTGCACTAAAGGTGAGTGCAAGGCGCATTTATACTCAGAAATACATAGAAACAACAGATATTCCGAACCTTCGGGAACGCGCTCTTCTAGAATAGATAATCACAGGTGAGCATAAGCACGCAAGCCCATTGGCACTTCGGATTATGGCGAGATTACGCCTTGTACACCACTGTCGGTGCTGTCGGTGCCGTATAATGTAAATGTCGGTGCCGAAAATTCCAAATAAGTGAAATAATCGGAAAGCTCTAGAAAATAGAACAGTAGTCCGATTGAGGTGAAATAAAGTGCAAATGAAAGAGGAAAATAAGGAGAATAAGATGGAGTAAAAATATGGAAATTAGAAAGATGTCGAACGTCGGCGTACTCTCACAGCGACGACTATATTCTACTAATCGTCTACGTAGACGATCTACTCTACATCGGGTCGACCGACAACGTCACTACCTGGTTCGAAGGGGAGTTACAGAAAAATCTCACACTCACAGTCTCATCTACCGTTACGTAGTACCTCGGCCTCAACATCTAGGAAGGAGAAAGCGTGATCTACCTCAACGCCGCCAAATGTACCGACACCATTGCCAAACGCTTCGCACTCACGCCAACTACCATCTCCACACCATACCGCTACACGGCAGGAAGTCACAAGGAAGACTCCACTCCACTCAAGCCTGCCAAGATACGCGACTACCAGATGAAGCTGGGATGCCTTCTCTTTGCGGCTGTCACCTGCCGCCCGGACCTATCATACTCCGCAAGTCAACTCGCCACCTACCTCAAAAGACCTGAAACTGAACACATGACGGAACTCGACCGTGCTCTTCACTACCTCGTTAGCACTCCAACGATCGGCCTGACCTACTACAAGAACAAAACTACAACGCTCAAATTAATCGGCTACGTCGACGCCGACCACGCCGGAGATTCTGACAACAGGCGCTCGCGCACAGGCTACATCTACCGCCTCGAGCCTATCGGACCTATCTTGTGGCAGTCGAGTAAGCAGGAATTAATCGCTCTCTCCTCAGCCGAAGCAGAATATATCGCACTCTGCTCAGCCACCAAGGAAGGATTGTACCTTCGCGAACTCCTGGAGGAGGCGAAGCTGGCTCAGTTACCCAGCTTCTCCTTGTTCTGCGACAACCAGTCGGCAATTCGCATAGCCAACAAAAACGGATTCGCGAACAGGACGAAGCATATCGCCCTGCGAGATCGAGATGGCAGCTGATTACTTGACCAAGAAGCATCTTCGTAAAGGACGAAATCGAGAAGGGGAGACTTGAGCTATCTTACTGTCCCACGTCCGAGATGGCAGCTGATTACTTGACCAAGAAGCTCGGGAAGCAGAAGTTCGAGTACTGCATGCTGCTGACTGGACAAAGCCACGTCACCAGCAGCGACACTCCAGAAGCGAAGGGGAGTGTTGGAAACAATTGATTTAAGCGCCTCTGTCGTGTCGAAACACCAAGTCAGAAGCGAAGCATAACATATCGAAGCATCAGCGAGTCAACCCTCGGAGGTTGAACAACTGCTGGAGGTTACGCGAAAGTCAAAGGTCAGCGACCTTTGACCTGACAAGTACAGCGCGACAGCAAGGACAAACAACTGACTCACTATTGAGCAGTTGCCCGAGTCGTCACTGTATCGAACCGCAACAGCAATGGTAAAACGGTTATTCCGTATTCTCCCGGATATAGGACCCTCCCGAAAAAAAGACCCCCGGGACTTTTGAACGGTACTGGGACTCTTAATATGTAGCATATGTGAGAGGACCCCCCCTAAGCCTATAATCAGTATAAGACCCCCCCCCTTCCCCTAGGGGAGGGGATTCTGTTAAAGAAACCATTGCCCAACAGTTTAGAATTAATACTGCACTTGGATCCACACTAGACACGATGTGAAGGCATGGAACAGACGTGATGCAAAGGGGGGGGGGGAGGGGGGGGGTTCTGGATGTGGGCACCTGAGGGAACCGCACACTCAATATGCTGTGCGGTTCGCCTCGAATGGTGTGATTTCCGCCGTCGTGCCTAGTTGGACGACGCGTGTCACACGCGATATGAGGTTCGGAGTGCTGTAAGCGGTGGATTTGGACGTGCAAAATAAAAGTCCCCCCCCCCCCCCCAAAAAAAAAACGAATGGTACACCCTAAATCGCATAACTGTACTTGATTAATAAGTGTACCCGGGTCTTATACAACTCGTTCCGATTAAATGTTCACCCTAACCAATTTGCATCTATTTTAGGAAAGTCCCCCGGGTCTTATATCCGGGAGAATACGGTTGGTTATAACCCTTCATATCCCTTTGTATTCTTATAAAAGCTTGTATCTCCCTGCTATTAATCAATCTACTTTGCCCTCACATACCAGCGCAAGGTGGTTCACAATCTTTCATTAAAACGCTTCCGCTATTACATTGTCCTACTCTGAATTTAGTCCTGCAAAGATCCTAAGGGCTTTCTCAGCCCAACATTCTCATCCTAGCTTTCTCTTTGTTTGCACCACAATAACCAACTAGCACAATTCCATTGCCTGGTGCCGTATGTGTCTAGTCTTCCAAACAGGTTAATTATTGCTGGACTTCATAAGTTAATTCTGAACACCACAGCAATCCTAAGTTACACGTACGGTACGATACGGCCCATTTCCTCTGCTGCCATGGAAACGACTCTGCTGCTGCAGCTGCAGAGTCTCTATCTAACCGGCATTCATCCGACCTCCAGTCGACCCAGAAAGAAGCCCAAGCGCGCTTTCATCAATACAGGGCACTGCTTCCTCAGCTGCCTTTGACTGGCCTCATGAGCCGCCCTGTCCTCATCATCACTCTCATAGCAGGGCGCGTAGCCTCCGTTGCTCCACAGCCTGCTATGATTGCACACCAGCCTCCCACGTGTTTCGAGACGTCTCAAAAGCCTCCCACGTGGCACAGCACAGCACAGCACAGGTCAATCCACGCACATGCCCTCCTCCTCCTCTCCTTATCCTCGTCAACCTTATCGTCATTACTGCCTCCGTACCCTCCGTTGAGGGTACGGAGGCCCGTACCCTCCGGCCATTGCTTCTGAGGCGCCTCACTAGCCCCCCTGCCAACATCATTATTGCAGGGACCGTAACCTCCGCTGCTCCACTGCTTGAAGCTGGTTCCCTCGTTGCCTCAGCCTCTTTATAAGCATCGCCTCTGCTCCTCTATCGTACAGCCCTGTCCACCGATAAGCCTCCTGTTACAGAGAGAAGAGATGCAGGGAGAAAAAAAGGATGAGGGAGCAAGGACTAGGAATAGGAGATATGGTTCCACTGCTTGAAGCTGGTTCCCTTGTTGCCTCAGCCTCTTTATAAGCATCGCCTCTGCTCCTCTATCGTACAGCCCTGTCCACCGATAAGCCTCCTGATACAGGGGGGGGAACGGGAAGAGGGTAACAAGGGGGTGAGGAGGGGTGAGGAGGAGGGGTTCGATGGGAGAGGGAGACATAAAGGGGTGGAGAGGGGGTGGAAGGGGCACGGGAAAAAGAGAGGAACATTCTACCTGGCACGGCCTTAGGAATCCAGGATCCATGATTCCACCCAGCATGACCAGCGCTCTCCCACTCACCTGAATCTCCTCAATGAATGTGTTGCTGCACATCTAGCTTCAGCGTGGATCGGGTGCACCCCACACACCCCATACACCCCACACCCCACACACCCCACACACACCACACACCCACACACCCCAGACACCCCACGCACCCACCTGAATCTGCTCGATGTTTCTCTGTAGTTTCTTAATGGGAACGGCATCCAGCCTCTCCTTGAGAGTGTGCAGCTGGTCGGGGTCGATGTTGACTGACACGGTGGAGTAGTCCAGTTCATCCCACCCTCATGCGTACATACAGGCTGGCTTGTACCCACCCACACACCCACGCACCCACCTGAATCTGCTCGATGTTTCGCTGTAGTTTCTTAATGGGAACGGCATCCAGCCTCTCCTTGAGAGTGTGCAGCTGGTCGGGGTCGATGTTGACTGACACGGTGGAGTAGTCCAGCTCATCCCACCCTCATGCGTACATACAGGCTGGCTTGTACCCACCCACACACCCACGCACCCACCTGAATCTGCTCGATGTTTCGCTGTAGTTTCTTAATGGGAACGGCATCCAGCCTCTCCTTGAGAGTGTGCAGCTGGTCGGGGTCGATGTTGACTGACACGGTGGAGTAGTCCAGCTCATCGTCCCACGGGTTGTCGTGACCGCGGAAAAATGTAACTGGGATGCACCCTGAGATGATCGCCTGGTTTGTGGGGGGGTGGGGGGGGAAGGGGGGGAAGTGGGGAAAAAGGGGAGGGGAATGAATGAGTGTGGGTGCGAGAGGGAGGGTGATGGGGGGAAACACGGAAGTGCAAGAAGCCCAGCTCATCGCTCAGCCCAGCTCTCATCGCTCAGCCCAGCGCTCATCGCTCAGCCCAGCTCTCATCGCTCAGCCCAGCGCTCATCGCTCAGCCCAGCTCTCATCGCTCAGCCCACCTCTCATCGCTCAGCCCAGCTCTCATCGCTCAGCCCGGCTCTCATCGCTCAGCCCAGCTCTCATCGCTCAGCCCAGCTCTCATCGCTCAGCCCAGCTCTCATCGCTCAGCCCAGCTCTCATCGCTCAGCCCAGCTCTCATCGCTCAGCCCAGCTCTCATCGCTCAGCCCAGCTCTCATTGCTCAGCCCAGCCCAGCTCTCATTGCCCTAGGGGTTGTTTTTTGAGGCGCCTAAAAAATCGGAAACACGGAAGCGCAAGAAGCCCAGCTCGTCGCCCCAGCTCATCAACCCCCATCTCATCGCCCCAGCTAATCAACCCCCATCTCATCACTAAAGCTCAGCTCATCGCTCAGCCCAGCTCATCGCCTTAGGGGCTGTCGTGGCCGCACTCCGCCTCGCACCTTGAAGGGGCGGCTGGTCCACTGGGAGTGGCATTGACTAGATTGACTTCATTGACTAGTTTGACTTCATTGACTCGATTGACTTCATTGACTTGAATAAATGACTAGTTTGACCCACACCCACTCGCACCTTGAAGGGGCGGCTGGTCCACTGGGAGTGGCCGGGCGGGCAGATGCAGAAGACACTCTTCTTCCATTCCTCATCCGTCTCATACTCTCCCTTCTCCGCAAAGTCCCATCCCTCGTACCCTGCATCCTTGTACATCTGGGGAGCACAAAGAAGAGGGGGAGCACAAAGAAGAGGGGGAGCACAAAGAAGAGCGGGAGCACAAAGAAGAGCGGGAGCACAAAGAAGAGGGGGAGCACAAAGAAGAGGGGGAGCACAAAGAAGAGGGGGAGCACAAAGAAGAGGGGGAGCACAAAGAAGAGGGGGAGCACAAAGAAAAGGGGGAGCACAAAGAAGAGGGGGAGCACAAAGAAGAGGGGGAGCACAAAGAAGAGCGGGAGCACAAAGAAGAGCGGGAGCACAAAGAAGAGCGGGAGCACAAAGAAGAGGGGGAGTACAAAGAAGAGGGGGAGCACAAAGAAGAGGGGGAGCATAAAGAAAAGGGGGAGCACAAAGAAGAGGGGGAGCACAAAGAAGAGGGGGAGCACAAAGAAGAGGGGGGGCACAAAGAAAAGGGGGAGCACAAAGAAGAGGGGGAGCACAAAGAAGAGCGGGAGCACAAAGAAGAGCGGGAGCACAAAGAAGAGCGGGAGCACAAAGAAGAGCGGGAGCAAGCAGGGGGCGTGGCAAACGAGGAGGGATGACTTTTCAGTCGGCTCAACAGTTTTCTTCCACTCCCCTTCCGTCTCGTACTCGCCCTTCTCTGCAAAGTCCCACCCCGCGTGCCCCGCGCCCTTATACATCTGGAAGGAGAGAGGAGAGAAAAGGGGGGGGGGGGGGGGAGGGAGCGGGGAAGAGAGGGAAGGAGTTGGATTCAGACGGCAGATGCAGAAAACGCTCTTCTTCCACTCCCTTTTGACTTTTGAGTCGACTCAAAAGCCAACTCAGATGCAGAAAACGCTCTTCTTCCACTCCCTTTTGACTTTTGAGTTGACTCAAAAGCCAACTCAGATGCAGAAAACGCTCTTCTTCCTCTCCCTTTTGACTTTTGAGCCGACTCAAAAGCCAACTCAGATGCAGAAAACGCTCTTCTTCCACTCCCTTTTGACTTTTGAGTCGACTCAAAAGCCAACTCAGATGCAGAAAACGCTCTTCTTCCACTCCCTTTTGACTTTTGAGTCGACTCAAAAGCCAACTCAGATGCAGAAAACGCTCTTCTTCCACTCCCTTTTTTGCCTCGCATGCGCGTTTCTTGTAACCATCCCTATTACCCCCCTCCTCTCCCCCCTCCCCCCTCCCCATTCTCCCCTCCACCCACGCACCTCGATCAACTCTTTGCGGATGTTGCGGTTGTGGTGCTTCAGCGGCTCGCCATGGTGCTGCGACGCGCCATCTGCCTTGTGCCTTCCCAGTTCCCTCCCCTCCCACCCTCTCCCCCTCCCCCCCTCTTTCACCTCTCCCCCTTCCCCCTCCGCCCGCCCACCTCAATTAGTTCTTTCCGCATGTCGTGGTTGTGGTGCTTCAGTGGCTCGCCGTGGGGCTGCGACGCGCCGAACCGGAACAGCACTTTGATCTCGCGCTCCGTCTCAAACGGCGGCACGATGGGCAGCCGATTCGCGACCAGCGCCGGCACGACGATGTCATGGTTCGGCACGTAGCACGGGATGTCTGGGACCGTTGGATCTGTGATCTTTGCACCGTAGTTGTACGAAATGACCTGCACGTTTTGTGTGGGGCGGGGATGGTTATTGAGGCGCCCAATAACGAAACACACAAAAACAAACAAACAAAACAAAACAAAAGATTAAACGACAACAAAACACTTGTGCGAACATTACCTGCATGTTTCGCCCAGGGCTGGAATGCGTGCTGCGAACCAGCTTGTCGCCATTTAAAGTTACAAAGAACATTTCGCCGTACACCCGCGGGTCCACGAACGTGAGCGAGTGACAACGACCGTGATCGAGAGTGCCGAAAGCGAAGTGATCTTGTCCGTTGGTTCGATTGAAGTACGGGTGCTCCTTCCTCACCCTCGTTATAAGCTTCTCCCATATCTGTTAGTAGGAAAAAGGGGGGGATTGGGGAAACATTTGGGGAACCTTGCTTAGGGGGGACGGACGGGGGGAATTACATGGTGGACGGCTGGCGGGAAAGGAAGAGGGGGAGGGGAGAACGGGGGAGGAGGGGAAGGGGAAAGAGAGGGGGGATAGAAGGGAGGGGAAAGGGGGGAGGGGGAGGAGGCGGGAACTGATGGGGGAGCGGAATCTGGGGACGCCGAAAAGCGAAACGGGTTTGCTAACGAGGTCAATTACGCGGCGGACAGGACAAGAAACGAGCGAAACCGGCCGGGCGCGGAACCGCGCGTCAATTGTCGCTCGAACATTCCGCGCGGCCGGACAGTGCCATGGGGCTTTCCGCCTGCCGCTGCTCGAACGCCTGCCGCGCGCACCACTTCAAAGAGTTCCAGAACTCAGAACTTGGAATCTCTAAGAGTTCTTCGAAGTGATTGGAACTTACCCTGGAACCTTCCTCGATCGCCTGCCGCATGTTGTTCTCCCACGACCGAAAGCAGTACAGCGTGTAACGCGCCGCGAAGAAAGGGATGAGGAACAGCGTTGCTTGCTCCGGGTCGTCCGTACGTACGGCGTTACTAGTCCGGATGACATTCGTCATGTAACGCTCCACGTCGTACTGGTGGCTGTACCACGCCGGGTTCAACTCCAAAACTTTCTCCGTGTATTCCGGACCCAAATCGTACACGTAGATGAACGGCCGATCGTCCGAACCTGGATCGGAAACTACCGAACCTAAACCAGACCCAGCGGGCGCCATAAGCTGGGAGGTTCGGAGCTTGCTACCGCTACCACTGCTACCACTGCTGCTAACCTCGTTCGTATCCGCGTGTTTTACGTCCCGCAAAGAGCGAAAGAGGGGACTGCTTTCCGAAACGACATTCGCTGCTTCGCCGTTAGCACCGGCGCTCAATCCGCTCACGGAACCTCTGTTAAAGCACCAGCAGCCGCTGGAGTTCAAAATTGTGACACAAACGGCGGTGCACATAACGAGGCCAACGAGCTTAATGAGCGAATTCAATCGCGGCATTGTCACTTTTTTGTAAAGACCAGGCGGGAGTATCATGGGAGGGAGGTTGAGCTTTGAGTATGACTGCGCGATTCCGAGGAACATGTTTATCGCAAGTGACGCTTGCGGAGCGGCGCGGTGAGCGTCGTGCGACGTGCGACGTGCGGTGTGCGACGGAGACAGGCGACGTGCGGTGTGCGACGGAGACAGGCGACGTGCGGTGTGCGACGGAGACAGGCGACGGGTCGGAGGCGAGAGGCGAGATGAGGGATGAGGGGCGACGAGGAGGGATTTCGGCGACAGTCAGGTATCTGGGACTCGTTTTCTGAGTAACTTCAGAAGCAAGATTCCGCAAGAGAAGACGCTTCAGTGCTGGGCAAAAGAAAGACTCGCAACCTCGCTTTATTTACGAAAGAGGACCCGACTAAGCCGCGGAAAGAGAGGCGTCGAGAGCAGTAAAGCGAGGCGCGATTGCACTGAACCCAGTAAAACTCCCACGCCGCGTGTGTCTAAACGAAATGGAACGAATTAGGTTCGTTTGCGTCAAATATGCACAACCACCAACCTCCTAACCTATCTCTCCGCGAGACTGTTGCTGCTGTGACTGCTTTGTTTGGGAGGGATACTTGCTGCTCTCTTTGCACTGTGCAAAGTTGACATCTATTCGCCTCTTCCCGCCCTACAGAAACGCACTTCAAACCCCTCTATCCACATCGCCGCATGTGTTTTCACCCCCACAGGTCAGTGGTGATGTGGGTTCCGTGCCAAACGAAGAGGCGTGGCTGAAAGTTGCGAGCCTGGCCGCTTGGGCCAGTTGCGAGCCTGGTCACTTGGTTCGCATGCTTTCAAGGCAACACTTTCGGCTCCGGCTCCCCAAGTCCAAGCCGAGGCTGATACACCTAGTCCGCGGTATTTTAACCACGTGAACTGTTTTGTTTCAAACACCCTTTATTCATTTTCGGGTAATGAGATGGGCACCCAGAGACTTCGAGGCTATTATTTTACAGCGGGATGCCTTTCCGTCTGAAGAAACGCACACTTAGTGGTCCAAGATAGGGGGCATATCGGTATTGGCAGAGTTTTAACTGCCGTGATCTCGCGACGGGAATGCTAGATTCTACCCTCATTAATTTTCACACTACTCGTTTAAACAAGTTTTACCAAGGAGAAGTACCCTCGCGCGGTTAAGATAGCGGCGGTTAAAATACCGCGGACTAGGTGTACATCGAGGCTTCTAGAACTGCCACTTTGACCAGACCGGGCCGGACCCTTTCACATGTTCCCAGATTTCTGGGCTAGTGATTGCACAGAGCTGCGACGTGACAGAATTGTCCAGCTACGCCAGTGGTGGTCATGGCGTGACGCTAGAACCTGCTCACCGTGAGCTGCCCGCCCTGGATTGTTGGAACAATGGTTGTTAGATGGGACTGCCTGCCACGCCCCAGAAATACAGTAACTTTCCTGGACATGTACGGTCATGAACCAGAACAGTGTGATGCGGACAGAAACAGTAGCGGAACGACCTCGAAGAGCTGAATTCACGTAACGACGTACCATGCGATTCTGAAAGCAACGACGAGAGCTACAAGACGAAGGATTCAACAGTTTTTTCCTCGACATGACAATCGTGACATCCGCACCACTGGGTTTGCGCTTGAGCAACTCACCACCACCACCACGTCTGACCACCGCACCACACCACCACCACCACCACACACCACACACCACCACCTGCCTGCATGCCACACCACACTCCCAGTCCAACCCAAACCACAACACCTTTCGTCATTTCCAAAACCTCGCATCCCCATGCCGGACAAAACCCCAACCGCAGCAAAAGAAGCACCTGACACACCTGACACTTCGCCATCCGCGATTCCATGTAACTTGTACAGTTCTCTCAAATTCTACCGCATGTCTGTCCTACGGCGGTACACCCTCTTTCTCGACCTTTTCACCTTGCGCGACTCGTCGCTACAGTACTTGTCTCATGCGATCTGGTGCCAATAAACGTTCCTAGGCAACCTGGGGGGAAAGCCGGACCGCGTGACAAACTGGCTCAAGGACGTAAAATCTCCGTAATCGCTTCATAACTTTCCCAAACAGATGAAAACGTTGACAACGCTTTTTGTAAAGTGCATAACCTTACCTAACCGCATTCTTCGCATTGTGCTTGTACAGTAGGTGACAAGACCATTCTGAACGTGGTGACGTTCTACAATCCATGTAAGTTCTCCAACCAGGTGCTCTACTAGCGCGAAAGAGGGTGTATCTCTACAAAGAAATGCTTGTGTTACGAGTGCAATTGAGTGAGCGAGCGAGGATTGCACCATCGAGACAAGAAGCCAATGAGCGAAGGAATGAGCGAAGAATATATAGCGAAACTATGGTGGTAACGGTAACGTGGGAAAATGGGGTGCGCGATGGGCCTAGTGCCGAGGTTTGGGGAACTGTCGAGGCGGAGGTCCGGAGCGCGGGTTACCAGCCGAATCGTGAGGTTGGGTCGCATCGTGAACAGTGGCGGGAATGTTGTCGAGGCGAATGTCGCGAGTGGTGACGGAATATTGTGGGGTGCTGTCAGTGTTGTACGCGATGAGCAGGGACGCGAAGTAAGGGAAAGGAATTTTCCTTACACTACCCCCTCCCTCAAGGAGGCCTCCCTTACGAGAGCGCGTGTATATCCCGGAAATTTCTGCTGCGCAAGTACTCGTTGAGGACGGGTTGGTTTTCAATTTTGTCCAGGGGGACCCAGTTGTCCTCGGTGGGCGTGCGGTCTTTCCAGCGTATTAAAAAATCGACCCTTCGGGCTCCTCGTGGGTCACGAACTCGGTGGCTCAGAATCTTTTCGGGCGTGATGACTAGCTCGGTCGGTGGTCGGGTCATGCTGGCTGGGCGATGTCGGGCCAGTTGGCTGTTGGATGGGATGTAGAGGCGAAGCAGGCTGACGTGGAAGGAGGGGCTGACGTACCAGTCAGCGGGGAGGAGGAGGTGGGCGGTGACCGGTGTGACCATGTGGCTGATGCGGAATGGCCCGCAATATCGGGGGCGAAGTTTCGGAGTTATGGGCAGGCGGAGGTTTTGGGTGTCGAGTAGAACTAAGTCGTCGGGTTGGTAAGTGACGGGTCTGCGGTGGCGGTCGGCGTTGCGCTTAGCGATAACATTGGCTTTTTAAATTGCGTCTGTTGCCCTGGTCCGTGCTTCCTGTAGGACTTATGCGAATTGTTGCGCTCGTGGCACCGGGTTGTCGGGATTTGGGGTCATGGGTACTGTAGGGTCTTGTCCGTAGTTTAGGTAAAATGGTGACTGTTGGGTCGTGGCGGATGGCGAGTTGTTGTACGCGAATTCGATTAGTGGCAGTTGCTGTTCCCAGGTGGTGGGGTCGTCGCACGTGGCTCAGATTAACTGTTCCATGGTCTGGTTTGTCCGTTCTGTCTGTCCGTCAGTTTCGGGGTGGTACGAAGAACTGAACTGCAGCCTCGTGCCGAACTGCTGCCACAGGTTCCGCCAGATTTTGCTGGTAAACTTCGCATCGCGGTCGCTGATTATCGCCGCTGGTATCCCGTGTAATCGAACAATGGTTGCGATGAAGAGGCGGGCCGTTTCTTCGGCTGTGATCGATTTCTTGCAGGCTGCGAAATGTGCCATTTTTGTTAACCGATCGACGACGACCAGGATCGCGTCGTTCCCAATTGCACCCGCCGATAACCCCGTGATGAAGTCCATCGTCACCTGCTGCCAAGCATGCTCTGGGGGTGGTATCGGCTGCAACTGTCCTGCCGTCCGCTTCCGTGATGATTTCATGACCTGGCAGGTGGGAGACGATGCCACGTGTCGTTGCACGTCGGTCAACATTTCGGGCCAGTAGTAGTACCGCTGCAGCTGCTGCCGTGTTTTCTCTACTCCGAAATGCCCTGAAGTAACTCCATCGTGTGCCTCCTGCAACAGTAATTCCCGTAGAAGTGTGTAGCCCGGTACCCAGATGCGGTCAGTGCCGGCTTTTACGTAATAGACTCCTCTTGCTGCTGCATGTCAAACTTATATTCTATAGTCTGTTTAGGCTGTAGTGGGGTAGTCCTTATAGGGTACAACACTTTTAGGTTTGCTACTTGTACCCACCTGGTTTCTAGTTCAGTCATTCATTCGCTCACATTCCAACATGGTATTCTGAGCAGGTTCCCTAGTGGGAACGTTTTTAAGGGCCCACCACTAGATTTTTTTTTTCCTGCCCTGCCCGAAGCGCGCATCGCGCCTTCCCTGTCGCGGCCCCTAGCCAGTCGCGGCCCCTAGCCCGTCGCGGCCCCTAGCCCGTCGCGGCCTCTAGCTCGTCGCGGCCCCTAGCCCGTCGCGGCCACCAACAACTGGCGCGCCCCTGCCGGCCCCTGCTGACGCGCCCCTGATGACGCGCCCTTGCCGGCCCCTGCTGACGCGCCTCTGCTGGCGCGCCCCTGCCGGCCCCTGCTGACGCGCCCCTGCCGGCCCCTGCTGACGCGCCCCTGCTGGCGCGCCCCTGCCGGCCCCTGCTGACGCGCCCCTGCCGGCCCCTGCTGACGCGCCCCTGCCGGCCCCTGCTGGCGCGCCCCTGCCGGCCCTTG